TTTGCGAGTTGATGAAACAAAAGAAGGGAAAAAAAAAAAAATTATAAAAATAAATAAATAAATAAAGTAAAGAGTGTTTCCCAAGTCTGTAAAGAAGATCATGATATTACCTTACTCCCTCAGAGCTTGTTGTAGCAGGCTACCAACATTAACATTGTGCCTTAAGAAATTAGTAAAAGGTCTCCAGACATCTTCAAAAACGTTTTGTTTCTTTTTGACAATATACGTGATCTTTTCCATTGACATGTTTGACGCCATTTCTTTGATCCACTTTCCAATTCTTGGCTCATTGATATTTTTCCAATTAAGAGCAATTATTCGTTTAGCTTGTAAAATACACATTTCAATGAATCTGACCTCTTTGCTTTGTAAGAGAGGACTGATAGGATATATACCCAGAATAAAAAGCTTAGGATCCAGTGGTAATTTCTTTGATAGAATTTGGTCAATCATATCAATTATACCTTTCCAAAAAGACTTCACTTTCTCGCATTCCCATATACAGTGGTACAGTGTACCTCTCACCCCATTACACTTTATACAGGTATCAGGAATATTATCATTAAACTTGTGCAACATAACAGGAGTTATATATGTTCGCATCAGCCATTTTTATTGTATGAGTTTCAAGCTACTTTTGACTGTCTGTATCTGAGCCTTCTTGCATGCCTCATTCCAATCCTCTAGAGAAATTTCATCATTTATATCTTCTTTCCATGCAACTCGTGTTTTTAAATGAAAAATGTACTTTCGGCCCTTTGTATTAAAATATGAATACATCAATGATGCTGTTTTGTTTATAGTTGTTTAAGCTTAACTTAATTATAATTGGTTTATAAACATTATTTTAAACATTATGCACTTTTTTCACAGATAGTCATTTTATCTTATGCTTTGAATAAACGTGCATTAGTAATATTTTGCTCGATGCGCCCTCTTGTGGCCTCAGGAGAGAAGCCAAAAGCTTTTCTTCACCCTAACTGAAATTATGCATTTTAAATTAGAATATAATTCGAATTTTGATAATATTTAAGTACAAAATTCGAATTTAGTTTTTCAGCCATTTTGACAGCCCTAATGTGGAGGAGATCTGAGATCCACGGAGCGGATCATATGCGCGAATCGACATAAATATTAAACACTTTTAAAACTACACAGCCTCAGCGTGATTATGATCACTATTTTGTTTTACTAAGAGTTTCATTTTTAATCTAGGGGGTAATCTATTATACTGTGGCTGTCAAATGCAGCTTACCGAGCTCAACGACTCTGGCCCGAGCAGATATAAACAAAACGCTATTGGCTATTTTAAAAAGGGGGCGGGGCTGCTCAATATGTCCGGCCTTGTCTTCCTGTTTCAGTTGAAATTACGTCACCACATAGAATAGGGCCGTTCGATATGGACAAAAAAAAACTATCGCGATTTCTTTGATCAATTTTGCGATTTCGATTTTAATCACGATTTTGACACACAGAGACATGCTTTACAGTCATTAATGCATTCAGTGTGAATTTGAAACATATTTCCAAAAGAAAACCAATTAGAGCTTTATCAAAAAGCTGTAACATGTCAGATGTTGAACTAGATTTGTTGCGCCAAGTTCACACGTACTCCGTCTTTATTGCTTATACAGTATGTGTATGCGGTGCAGAAGCAGCACGGACTCATTTTGCTTTCGCACAGGACGCGTTTGCAGTCCGCTCCTGATCCGCGGCTGTTTACCACAAACACAACATTTATCCATTATTTTGATTTTGGGACGGAAAATCGTGCTATAAAGCGATTTAGAAATCGCGCAAGCTCAAATCGCGATTTTATGACGATTTCGATTAATCGCACAGCCCTAACATAGAATAACACTGTATGTTTCAAGGCACTTTAGGGGACCTTTAAATGTACATACTGATTAACTGATACTGATACCAGCTTGTTGGTTCGCATTGTGTTTTAATTTTTTAGTTTTAATGTACATGTTTGCTTGAATTTATTTTAAGGTAAACTATCTGTTGTTGCTTTCAGTATGGCTTTAAGGTCACACAAAATGATATTCAAACTCACATCAGACACGTTTAACTGTGAATAAAGCACATAATCAGTACCTGAGATTACCACTGTCATAGTTTGTATGTTGTTGTTCCAGCTGCAATGTCGTGGAAATAGAAACCATTTCTAAAATAGAAATTTCATGTGTTGCCGTCGCGGCTAGTTAGGACAAAAACTCAGATTAACATGGAAAAGATATCTATTATCGCGTCGTCGCGTTGTCGTGTGCGTGTAGTTAGGACACAGTGTTACTGACCCCAAACTTTTACAGATAGTGTACATGTAGATGATTTAAGAGAAAAAAGTATGGGACTTTCACCAGGAAAATTGGGGAAAAAAGATTTCTGGTTGGTTGAAATGTAAAAGGGCCTAGAGGCACCAATTAAAAAGGAAAGTTCCATTTCACAGGCAGCGCAAGTTATTACCTTTAGACTGTCATAGATTAATCATTTACTATACAAGAATGTGTATTACGGAAGTATATAGGGTTAGTTTTAAATTCATATTGACTTCATTTATTGTGGTGATTGTCTTTTTATTGCCATTGTGTCTAAAGTGTTATTGTTCCATCTATAGTGTTAAAATCTCTGTTAGAAGTGTGAGTGGTCCATTCACAGTGTTAATGTTGCATCCATAGCAAGTTTCTCAATCTATAGAACGAGTTATAACAGATTCACAGTGTCAACTGCAGTGCAAATGCCTACTAACACCAAATCATCATTTTCAGCATGAAAAAGATGCATGACAATTTTTAAAAAGAAATTATCTACTTCTCACAGAAATAGAATGATTGAACTGTGAAGATCCATTGTTTTTTTTTTTTAACTTTATATTAATATTATAATATTATATACTAATATTTTTTTTTTGTAAATAGCAGTTATTGGTCAATTTGGATAGCAGTCATTCTGCTCACTTTTCAGACAATCGTCAGATTGTCATCAGATCATATTTGTGAATATTTTATACACTCTGGTTTTATTCAAATCAGGATTTGGTGTGAACAAGCTTGTTTGTGAACGTTTACTTTCCAGTTGTTACAATGCAAAAAAAATATTTTTTTCTTAATCAGTAGTATATAGGGTCATATGATTTCCGCAATGCGGAAAACATGTACGGAATCACGGAATCCAGTCATAAAAACGGAATTTACTGTATAACGTGGAATGTCATGGAATTTGCTAAATTTTTAATGGATACATCAAATGTTGGTCAGTACACTTAAATCAAAACGCGATTTGGACTAGTGTCTGTTAATATAAAGCCACAAAAATACCATTTAAATATGAATCCTGCATGTTCTGTGTCTATGTGTGAATGAATGGTGCAGACACGCGGTTCATTTAACACACACATACTGAAGAACGTGTGACGCTCGCAGTGTTTTCAGCCTTTGCCGCCTCAATATATGAGTACATGAACACATGAACATAATCTCTAAAACTGCTCTGAGAGTCACTTCATGAGCATTTTACACTTTCTTTTGAGTAAAACTATCGTCATATCATATACAAACAGAAACTTAAAAGTCTTCACAGCTAGGGCTGTCGCGGTGAGGGAATTTCCCTTGCGGTAATTTTGAGTGGGCTAAGACAGAGATTTCGCTTTCCTTGGACATGACAACCTATTTTCACAAATATATATGACTCGGTCTGTAGGACAGACGCAAGTAATCGCACGCGCTTAGTCGATCTCTCTCTCATTCACTGTCTGTTTAGGCTTGTTAAGTGCAAATCTACGGAGCCTCTGTACAAATCAGCATGGTACACATTATGTTATCATTAATAACTTGTTTAATATTCAGTCCACATGCATGAATGTAAATATGTGTAAAACGAGAAGGGCATAACCTTACGAAAAAAGAAAACACGCAAAAATCGCGGTTGCTGCGGTTCTTGCATTCCTCTGCGGTTTGCTTGTCAATAGCGCGGTATTGCGATATTGCGGTTATCGCGACAGCCCTAACTACAACGTCACTTACATCATCATCACCGCATCCACTAATGACGCTCCCTGACGCACTCACAGCAACCCGTCAAAATAAAAGTTCAGTTTAACTTGAAGAAATGGTGACAGAAATAATACTTAATGTAATGATAGTACTACTACTAATAAAATTATTGTTAAAACATTATTTTTAAAGGAATATTTACCAGAATTAATTTAGCAGAAAAATGTAAATACACAACACAGTATTTCTGAAAAAAAAAACATAAAACGATAATAATTTACTTTTTTAATAAAATCAGTTAATTAGAGATGCTTTTGATTATTAATATTTAATGAAACCATTAAAATGGAATCCAGAAAATGAATGGAAAACAGAAAATAATCTGAATTTGAGAAAAAAATAAAACATTTCATAGGGCCTTAAAATGTAATTTTTGTTTGGCTTTTAATAAATTGCTGTTTAATATTGTAAATTTCCTGATTTCAATTAATCAGACATGCTTTTTGATGAATAAAATTTAATTTATCCTTAAAACAGAGTCAAGAAAAATTAAAATGGGGAAAAAATGGAATCCAGAAAAATTTTAACACACACAAAAAAAAATGAATTTGGGAAAAATATAAAATGAATTTCATAGAGCCCTAAGTATAGCCGGACAAAAATGCTGAATTCTAAAATGGATTTTCTGGAGTAGTGACATCAGACTTGTTGCGTATATTTGAAAACCAAATTTCCAATTTAAACTATATTGACATTTTTTGTTGGAACCGTTGGTGTGTTCTGAGAATGGCATAAAAAGTGTGTGGTAATCTTCGGTCTCATTGTATCTGTTGCTTTTTAGGGAGAAAACGAAGCAAGACCTCCAAGCAGAGAATCATCAGATGAGGAAAGAGAGGAAAAAGAACCCTGGCCTGATGATAACAGCAGCTCCAGGTGAATGTTCATTACCCTCAAACTTCATATGACATAATGGCATATATTTGACATACACATACGTCAGCCAGAGCCACACAAATATGCTGGGTCTGTTTATAATTACAGCGATTACTCCAGCGATTACTCAGACTGGACAGCAGATGCTGGAATAAACCTGGAACCGCCCAAGAAGACCAGCGTGAAGAAAAAGAAGAAGAATGCTAGCAGCTCGGAAGAAGATGGAGAGAAGAAAAAAGACTCCAAGAAGGAGAGGAGGAAAGAAAAGCAGGACAAAGATGGAGCACTACCAAAGAAGAAGAAGCCAAAGGAGAAACGGAAGGTCAGTGGTCCTTTGTGTGTTGTTTCAACTATGGACTCCTTCCTTAAAACATGCTTCTCAAGCTCACTAAGTTTCTTGAATTTGTCCATTGACAATGGTCATTACAGCTTTAATGAGTGACAGAAGAGTTCTGTCTTTCTGTTTTTATTTTAGTATCCATAAATCATTATGAACTGATGTCATTTCCACCACATCACCATTCATTTTTAAGCTGGAAATAATATTTGAAACATTTTTGGAATAAAATGTGAAAATGGCATTTAAAAAATTTTTGGATTATCTTCTCTTGCCATAGCTAATTTCATAGCTAGTATTTGATGTATCCCAAATACACACAATTGAGTAATATTTTCACACTTTCTGCATAATTTTACAATTACATCTTGACTGGAAATTACACATTTTCTGTGGAAAACCTTGTTGAAAACCTTGAACAACCCCCCCTATACTGTTCGATTGGTATTTAGGCTACACTGACTTATCTTTATCGCACATCAGATGTCTCATATTTCATCTCAAGTTCTTCACTGATGCTGTTGTCTCCTTGGTAACCAAGTGCACAAACTTTTGAAAGAACTTTATTAATGGCAAATATTTGGTTGTGGTGGAAATGACGCCGTAGCTGAGTCATCAGTCTTTATTCGAGTAAAAATATGACTCATTTTTATGTAATAAAAGTTAAAATATTTTATTTCACTTCTTGATGAGATCATCTTGGATCTAAAAAGTCTACATCTGAGACTGAGATCTTTTTTATAATTTAATTCAAATAAAGAATAACCCCTGGGACAAAAAGTTAATTCCATTGACAGTTTCAGTTCACTTTCAGATTTGTGTGAAAGTCCTGCTCTGTTTTTAAGTTAGTCTGAACTTGCTGTATATATATGTGTGTGTGTGTGTGTGTTTATATGTTCAGAGGATACCTGAACTGCAGAACCAGGGTTTGACATTAGAGGAATGGCTGCCCGCCGCCTGGATCACTGACACCATGCCACGGAGATGCCCCTTCACCCCACAGATGGGCGATGAGGTACAAAACACATTCGTCAGTACAACAGTTTGCTAAAGCAAAATAAAAATGTGAAATATTATTATTTATGTAGTGTGTGGAAACATGCTTATAACAGTAAGCTGCTTGTTGTGTTTGTGAACAGGTATATTATTTCCGTCAAGGCCATGAAGCTTATGTGGAGATGGCCAAAAAAAACAAGATCTTCAGTATAAATCCTAAAAAACAGCCCTGGCACAAGTTAGAGCTCAGGGTAAGTCTTCAATGAAATTAAATTTAACCTCACAGTATTTTTATGCACATGATAAAACATATAGGAAATGGTTTGTGATTGTGTGCCTGCAGGAGCAGGAGCTGTTGAAGATAGTGGGCATCAAGTATGAGGTGGGTTTGCCTACTCTGTGCTGTCTGAAGCTGGCCTTCCTAGACCCAGACACTGGCAAACTGACGGGCGGCTCTTTCTCTATGAAGTGAGTACTGTCTGCATGAGTCACCATGATCTTCGCCGAGTGGCTTTTAACCTGTGACTCGCATTTCTGTTGTGGTCTTAGATACCACGACATGCCTGATGTCATCGACTTCTTGGTACTTCGGCAGCAGTTTGATAATGCAAGACAGAGGAACTGGATGATAGGTTAGTGTGTGAATTGAGTGCATTTCTGCACAGATATTTATTTTTTACAGGGTTAAATGGGTCAATGACACACAGGGATGTTTGAGATGATGAAAAGGAGAAGTCTTTATAAAATCTAGTTCAAAATCCAAGTGCTAAATTCTTAAAAATGTCATCTTTGTGTTCATCTTGGTTTATTCATGTTGTAAAAAAAATAAAATCTACCAAAAATTTTGACTAAAATGTCAAAGTATTGAAATAATTTTCTTAGACATTGAACAGATGTGATTGTACACACTCCTTTTTTACCTGAAATAACGTTGCTATTTCATAAAAACCTCTTTAAAAATTTACTGACCTTGACACAGTCTATCTATTTATCTATCACAAATTTTTAATAAATTTTTAATTGTAATAGAAGAGGTATTCAAGTAATTGTCTGTATGAATTTTTTTTTAAACTTAATATGTTGCTTTCTGTTAATGACTGCTTGTTCCTGATACAGAGTTGATGAGTGTGTGTAATTGTGTCTGATTTGAGATGGATTTATTTTGTCAGGTGATCGTTTCCGGGCAGTGATAGATGATGCCTGGTGGTTTGGTACGATTGAGAGTCAGGAGCCTTACCAGGCTGAATATCCAGACTCTCTGTTCCAGTGCTACAACGTCTGGTCAGTTCTCTGTGTCCATCTACACATCTTTACACATGTTATAGAGCAATTCAATTATTGTTACATTGTGTCCTAACCAGGCGTGAAGCCATGAGACCACAAACGGCACACACTGTTAGTTCTACATTAACCTCTATTGTATGTTGTCTTAACCACATTAACAAACAGCCAGTTTAAAACCCACAAATCTTTCTGGATTGAATTGCTCTGTAATTACACTTCCTCTTCGACTTCAAATTTAAGACTAAACATGCTTTATATGGAGGTTTAGAAATTAATCTATACTGAGCTTAGTGTGGTGTTGCACATATTTGATGGGGGGGGGCTAATAGTAGATGACATTATATTGACAGTTTTGTGTTATTGTGTGATGCAGCTGGGATAATGGAGATACAGAAAAGATGAGCCCATGGGACATGGAGGAGATTCCCAATGAAGGTATGATGATCACAATCACTACAGCTGTCAGTAAAATAAAACAACTTTGTCGCCATGCGTGGGACTGATTTTGACTGCCTGTCTCTGTCTGTGTTCTTTAGGGACCAAAGCTGTACAGATATTATTCCACTGTATAACAGTATGAAGAAAACTGCTTTCTCAGATTCAAGCGATGTAAGTGTCATTGAAACACACTCGTAAACCACTCATAAGTGAAAGAGATTTAATACATTATTACAGTACCTTTAAGACTGTTCTTTTGCTGCCTTGCAAGCACTTGGAATTCATATAATGTAAATGTAAATGTGTGTATTTTTATGACTTGATTGACACCTTTTTCCCAACCTAGGATGAAGATGAGGATGAAGAACACGAGGCACCTTGTACATCTAGCCGCAATAAGAAGGTAACTTTAACTGATATTATATCATTTAAAAAGGGCCAGAAAGATAAGACTTGATTATACATCAAGATTGTTTACATCTGGCTAATTGCGAGTGTGTATCTGTTTCAGAGGCAGCAGCAGCAGCCTATCCTGAGGAGTATGCGCAGTAAACCATCATCAGACCCTCAGAGCTGGAAGGGGCGCTGCAGAGAGCTGCTGGAGCTCATCTTTCAGTGTGAAGATTCAGAGCCTTTCAGACAACCTGTGGATCTGGAGGAGCATCCGGCAACAGATAGACACATGTAGAAAACACGTACACACAGAACTGTAGCTTATAGCTGTAACTTCAGGTGGGAATTATGAGGGATGCATTTTTAGTTTTTTTAATTGTTGTTGTTTTTATTCATTTACACATAATAGTATACATTTTAATATTGTCCTTTTATTAATGGCAAAAACCAAATGAACCAATTGAATGTAATTGATTTTAATCGGTGCATCCCTAGCATTTAGTTTAAAGCCATGCGTGGGACTGATTTTGACTGCCTGTCTCTGTCTGTGTTCTTTAGGGACCAAAGCTGTACAGATATTATTCCACTGTATAACAGTATGAAGAAAACTGCTTTCTCAGATTCAAGCGATGTAAGTGTCATTGAAACACACTCGTAAACCACTCATAAGTGAAAGAGATTTAATACATTATTACAGTACCTTTAAGACTGTTCTTTTGCTGCCTTGCAAGCACTTGGAATTCATATAATGTAAATGTAAATGTGTGTATTTTTATGACTTGATTGACACCTTTTTCCCAACCTAGGATGAAGATGAGGATGAAGAACACGAGGCACCTTGTACATCTAGCCGCAATAAGAAGGTAACTTTTTAGTTTTTTTAATTGTTGTTGTTTTTATTCATTTAGACATAATAGTATACATTTTAATATTGTCCTTTTATTAATGGCAAAAACCAAATGAACCAATTTAATGTAATTGATTTTAATCGGTGCATCCCTAGCATTTAGTTTAAAGCCATGCGTGGGACTGATTTTGACTGCCTGTCTCTGTCTGTGTTCTTTAGGGACCAAAGCTGTACAGATATTATTCCACTGTATAACAGTATGAAGAAAACTGCTTTCTCAGATTCAAGCGATGTAAGTGTCATTGAAACACACTCGTAAACCACTCATAAGTGAAAGAGATTTAATACATTATTACAGTACCTTTAAGACTGTTCTTTTGCTGCCTTGCAAGCACTTGGAATTCATATAATGTAAATGTAAATGTGTGTATTTTTATGACTTGATTGACACCTTTTTCCCAACCTAGGATGAAGATGAGGATGAAGAACACGAGGCACCTTGTACATCTAGCCGCAATAAGAAGGTAACTTTAACTGATATTGTAAAATTTTAACAGGGCCAGAGAGATAAGATTTGATTATACATCGAGATTGTTTACATCTGGTAATCATGACTAATTGAGAGTGTGTTTCTGTTTCAGAGGCGCCAGCCTATCCTGAGGAGTCTGCGCAGTAAACCATCATCAGACCCTCAGAGCTGGAAGGGGCGCTGCAGAGAGCTGCTGGAGCTCATCTTTCAGTGTGAAGATTCAGAGCCTTTCAGACAACCTGTGGATCTGGAGGAGTATCCGGTAACACATAGACACATGTAGAAAACACGTACACACAGAACTGTAGCTTATAGCTGTAACTTCAGGTGGGAATTATGAGGGATGCCGTATTCTCAACCTCAGACCACCTGCTGTTTGTTGCCATATCAATATTTATTACCTTTGGACAAGCAAAAAATCAAAAACTCATGACAGAGTATATATTTTCCACAAATTTTTCAGGGATTTTTGCCTAACTATAACAGTGTCAGCTACACGTATACACAGCATATACACACACACACACACACACACTGCAGAAATCTTTTTTTAAATTATGTTTTGTCTTGTTTTCCAGTAAAAATACCTATACATGCTTGAATCAAGATAAATAAGTAACTAGATGATTGTCACAAAATCACAAACCAGAAAAACAACAATTTGTCAAATGGGTAGGAAAAATAAACTTACGTTATATCCTCTTCTTATCTTATCTTTTTATGATAATTTTATATAAACTACCATTTAAAGGTTTGGGGTCAGTATGATTCAGCATGGATGCTTTAAATTCATTAAAAGTGACAGTAAAGTCATTTTTTAGCCTTGATAATAATAAGAAATTTTTCTTAAGCACCAAATCAGCATATTAGAATGATTTCCAAAGGATCATATGATACTGATGACTGTAATGTCTGCTGAAATGCCAACTTTGTCATCACAGGAATCAATTAAATTGTAAAATATAAAAAAAATGAAAGCAGTTATTTTAAATTGTTAAAAAAAAATCACAATATTACTTTTTTTTATCAAATAAATGCAGCTTTGGTAAGCATAAGAGACCCCAACCTTTTCACCGGTAGTGTAAATCTTGTTTAAAGGATGTTTGGGTATTTGTACTGGAAAACAAAACAAAAATACTGATTAAGAAAATAATTTTTTGCAGTGCACTGTCTACTTATATGCCCTGTTCATCAAAAATACCTCTCTCAGGACTACTTGGACATTGTGGACACTCCTATGGACTTTGGGACTGTCTTGAACCGCCTGTTAGAAGGAGAGTACGACACTCCCGTGGATCTTTGTAAAGATATACGTCTCATCTTCAGCAACTCCAAAGCCTATACACCCAGTAAAAAGTCCAGGGTATGAGATCATGTCCAATTATTACCTTTTAATTTTAAAAACAGACATGTTGTAATGCTGTAGCCGAACCAGTTCATCTAGTTTATTTAATACATGTGTGTTTTTGTGTATGCAGATCTACAGCATGAGTCTGCGATTGTCTGCTCTGTTTGAAGAGCACATCAGTTCGATCCTGACCCATTTTAAAGCTGCTCAAAGTCTGCACAGTGAGCGATTCACTCGTCAGCGGCAGCACACCGAGCGCTTGACCAGACAGTCTGTGAAGAGGAGGAGGAGCTCTTCACCTTCAAGCTCCGCCTCTAGGTACAAACCGTATCTGATTGGTCATTGCAGAACATTATGTTCTAGAATTGGTCACTGGTTCTAAATGTTGCCTACACATTTTCTTCTTTTCTGATTTGTAGTCCAGAAAGGAAGCGTCGGGTTTCGTCTCGCGCTCCTCCTCGATCGGACAATGCAGCTCCGCCCACTCCCGCTGGACCTTCCCGGGCTCCTTCTTTACGGCAAACACATCCACAGATCAACGGCAAGGCTGAGCCTCCGGTTGTCCCCGGTCGGACACGAAGCTCGGCCCGCTTTGGAACCCAACTCACAGATGCACCTTCTACACAGTCAGCTCCTCCCCCTCCACCCAGCCACAGTAAGACAGCAGAGCCCACCTCTAGAGTCCTGCGCACACAGAACTCTCACTCCATTGGTGCCTCCAGGGAAACTGAGAGCTCTGCAGTTCCCCACACAAATGAAGGCGGGTCCAGAGAGTCTCGCAGGAAACTTCGGACACCTGTAAAACTCACACCAGGTCAGTAACAGATGATGAGTATTTGTTGTGACAAGCTGATGTTATTACGGGAAAGAGGATTTTTGAATGTTTCCTGGAAACCTTCAGTGCACACACAGTGTAATTCCTGTAGGCTCAAAGTAATCACCTTTTCCCTGCTCATTAAAACATTTTCCTAAATGGATTTAAAACTTTCTTTTACACTGGTTTTGTGGAAAATCTGTGTATTTTTGCTGATTTCAACAGTAAATATTGTTAAAATTGCTGAGATTGCTTCTGTGAATTAATATTTTTTTCTGAATTGTTTTTTTTTTTTTCATTTTCTGCATTGATTTGGGGGAAAATCATTGAATGGTAAAATGTGTTAAACTGAACTCAAAGTACTCCTGCATAATTTTTTCCCCCTGAAATTTACTTCTGCAGATTTAAACGTTTGTAATGTTTTAAAGGGGTCATATGATGCGATTTCAAGTTTTCCTTTCTCTTTGGAGTGTTACAAGCGGATTGTGCATAGATAAGATCCCTGAAGTTGCAAAGACTAAAGTCTCAAAACCAAAGAGATATTCTTTATCAAAGTTAAGACTCTGCCACGCCCCCCTAAAACGGCTCATTCTAACACGCCCCCACATATCTACATCACTATCTGGGAAGATTTCTTTAAAAAAGCATCATATGACCCCTTTAAACTTTTTTGTGTGTGTGTGTGTTTTGATTTCTACTTTTTTTATTATATCTATATTTTTTCTGCACTAATGTTGGGGACAATCTGTAGATTTTTCTAGATTTAAATGTGGTAAAACATTTTAAACTGAACTGAGAATAGATTTAAACGTTCTGAAATGATTTAACCTTTTTTTCTAATTATATATAATTATTTAAGGGAAAATCTTTAGAATTTTGCAGATTTAGATGTGATAAAATGCTATTAGAGTATTACACACTTAATCATGGCTAAAAGCATAATAAAATTAGTCAGAATTAAATTTACTAAAATTGATGTGACGTGTAGAATTACAGCTATGTGAAGTCTATATAAATCTGTGGATCTTTCCATGGGTCACCATGGGTATGATTACCAGGGAACACACATGCGGATTAAAAAAAAATGCATTATTAGCCACTTTGAAGAAAAAAAAGAAGCATCTGTTGAATGCATATATGTGAATGTTTCATCTGTACTTATATTCTCATTCTCTCTTAGGTCCAGTCGATCACGACTCTTCTCCTCAAAACAGTTTGCATTTGAATGGTCATAGTCAAGTGACTCTGGGAGTGGTACGAAGAGGCCGGGGCCGACCCAGATTAGACGCACAAATACGAACGCCAGTAGCGGTACCGCCACCCCCACTGCCCCAGGCTTCTGTAAAAAAGAGAGGGAGGAAAAGCAAGAAAGAGCTGGAGTCCCTACGAAGAAGCTCATCCCATGAGGAGGAGCTTCTTCTGTCTACTGGTGATGAGGGCGGGGCTTCTTCTATAGCCCAGGACAGTAGTCTTTCAGATTCAGGGGTAGTGACTCCAGAGTGTCCCAAACCACGAGGTAGACTACGAGTCATCAGGACACCGGATACCCCAGCTCCTTCAAGCCCCAAAGCTCTCAGAAGGAGCAGTCGGCGTGGCAACGAAGAAACCACGCCCCCTACGCCAGGCCCCGCCCAAAGGGAGGAGCCTGACATTTATATGGGAGAGGATGGGAGCTCGAAAGGGCAGATGAGAACGCGTAACCAAGGCCGAAGGACAGCTTTCTATAACGAAGAAGACTCTGAGGAAGAGCAAAGACAGCTTTTGTTTGAGGATGCCTCGATTACTTTCGGCACGTCAAGCAAAGGGAGAGTCCGCAAGCTCACCGAGAAGGCCAAAGCCAACCTTATTGGCTGGTAACAATGCCAACTTTGCATGTCCTATGTGACACAACCCCTTATCCTCGCCCCACTGGGGAGGGGGAACCATTCCTGCTGCTATCAGACTGTCATGACTATCTGAATCTTTCATTCTGACTCTCTAAATCGATTCTCATGTTTTGAATCTTTGACTCTTTTGGTGACTTCAAGAGTCACGGCCCCTTGAAACCCCCCACCTTATACATTTTCTTCCACAGAAAATCACAAATGCAGTTAAATACTGATTTTCATATGCACTATTTGAATGCCAGTGAAGAAAGGTACTTATACAGTCTTATGAATCCAAATACCTGATTTCATCTCTCAAGAAAGCACTTATTTGAGGACGTTCGAGTGTGTGTGAGTGTGGTATAACTTGAGCTTTTACTCTGTCTCGTTTCTTTAAACTGTTAATTTTATGCATTGTTTTTACACGGTTGTTGCAACAAATCAAACACTTGTTAAAAAAAAAATCTATTTTTAACAGATCATTGTGTAAGTGGCTGTAAAGCTGTAGTGGCGTGCAGAGAAGGACCTCATAAATCGCGTGTTGTCTTTTTAACGTCTTTCTCTGCGAGTCAAGATCAGTGGCAGTGGTAATTCACGCATGTTTTTATATAATTAGCAATACCTTGTGCCTTTTCATACATTCAATACATTTTGGCTCCTTTGTACTCCCCAGTTAGTGTTAGAGAGTGTGTTTGATGCTTTAGCGCATTGATTCATCCAGTACAAACGTGTGTTATTGATCTGTTGCTGGGATAGAGATTAGTAAGCAGCATATCTACCCATGACCACTGTGTGTGTGTGTGTGTGTATGTGTGTTGTTGAGGTGTGTAATAGTAATGACATTATCACTCCACGCCTGTTTTATCAGGCTCCCAAAATGCACTGTGATCCCTAACTAGAACCATGACTTAAAAATACAGTGGCCACAAGAACACTGAAAACAACAGTTTTAAAATGTCTGAATGTCATTTTATTAGAGAATGAAATATCAAAGCAGGTGGCATCTGCAGAAAAATGATGGTAGAGATTTTCACAGAACTAACTTCCATGGCAGTTTTTGAAAATATGGCTGACAGTTTAATGTTAATTTGGAAATTATGTGATTAATGAATGATGAATAATTATTAACGTATAATAATTGTTGATTAATGTTAGTTATTTTTAATAGTTATCTAAAAATGATTGCAAATTAATGCAAAAATATTTTCAGTTTTAAACTGATTTAAAGCATTTTTTTATTTGATTAGAAATACAGTAAAAATAGTAATATTGTGAATTATTATTATTATAACGAATTAAAGTAATTTAAAAATATTTATATATTTAACATTTTAATATGTTAATATATTTAATATAATCAGTGATTTCTTTTTAAATATATTTTAAAATGTAATTTATTTCCGCAATGGCAAAGCTTAATTTCCAGCAGCCATTACTCCAGTCTTCAGTGTCACATGATCCTTCAGAAATCATTCTAATATGCTGATTGGTGTTCAAGAAACATTTCTCTTAACTATCAATGGTGAAAACAGTTATGCTGCTTAATATTGTTACAATTTTGATACGACACAATATTTTTCAGGATTGTTTAAGGAATAGAAACAGCATTTGAAATTATATCTTTTGTAACATTATACATTTCTTTACTGTGACTTTTTCAATTTAAAGCATCTTTGTTGAATTTAAGTATTAATTTCTTTCAAAAAATAAATAAGTAAATAAATAAAATGTACTGACCCGAAACTTTTGGAAGGTAGAAACAATTACTTGTATCTACCTCAATTCATTGAAAAATCATGACCAAATTCATTTTGATTAATTCTTAATCAAACGACAGCCCTACTTTTTTTTTTTAACCTAACAATATACCTATCAACAAATGTTTTTGTAAAATATATTGTGCTTTAACATTTACTTTGTTCTAAAGTGCCTCTTAGTTTGATATTCTGATATTTAATGCAATGACATTCATATATTTATGGCATTTCTCATATGTTCAAGTGCTTTTGATGCTCCTTCAAACAACTATTGACAGAGTTATTATTATGTGTGTGTAACACTGCCTGTAGTTTCATCTAGCCCAGAGAGCAGGCCTCTTTCTCTGTTTTAGCTAAACTCATTGAATTACTGTGGAACTGCTCATTTAATTAACAGAGAGGACTTTGTTTTTGCCCGATCACATTGAAACAGTTTGATATTTCCCGTTCTGATGCATCGACTCGGCTTCAGTAGAAACCGCAGGGCAGCGAATCACACAAAAGACAAAAGTGTGCATGTCGTATTCTGTGTTTTCAATGTGCCTTGACTTTTTGTGTGTATGCACGTGTCTGTGTGATGTAAAACTGAAGAATTAACGTATTGTATCCCACCTTGCTGTCCGGACTCACATATGCAGCATAGTCTCTTTTTGAGAAAGCCGGATCACATTCTGTCTGGTTTGCGGGCGGCCATGTGATTTTGTAGGTTCTTGCGTACTTTCAGCAGTTGTGGTCTGGGTCATCCATTACGATAGAGCTAATCCAGCCCATTGCTTTAAAACTGGTTTGATGAACCAAAGCCTTTGAATGAGTGTGTGGTTGTTTGATGGGAACACATGTGGCTGTTTTATATGCAGTTGACGCATGTCTGAGACTCTAGAGTGTATGTGATGTCCATTTCTGTGTTTATGTACAAGCCCCATGTTTTATTGAGCTGGTGTTTCTAATCTGTTGCTACATGAAAACTGTATTATATCTGACTCACGACCCCTCTATTACCACCATACTGCACAGGAAGTGACATCTCACGGACTGATTAACAGGTTTTAGAGTGGAGATCAAAGATGGATGCATGTTAGTATATTCTCTGGTCTTTTAAATCTGAAGGTACAGTCATGTTTGTGGGGTCAGGGTCTTTTTTCCCCCTCTCCGGTCTTATATCCTCAGACTGAGAGGTCTTTCTATGTTAGTTTGTATACTTTTATAAAAAAGGAAAAAGTGTAAATAAAGAGTTAAATAGAATGTATGTGTAGGGTGTACTGCTGTCACATTAGTTCATACTGATATTTTAAGGAAATAAACATTTGTGTTTCCACATACTGTCTTGTTCTTTCATTCTTTAGAACAATTTTTGTTAACATTTCAGTCAAGGGAAGCCTGGATGTATCAGGGAAAATTCAAATTGTGATTTCCATCGTCGTCAAAATAAAATCTTTAAAATCAGACAATTTCTGTTGAAAATGTACAATTATAAACACTACAATGTACATTTTGCTCTCATAATGGCAAGTATTGGTACCTTACATCCATCAGATTGATATTATATGCCATTTCCTAAAATTATTCGACATAATACACTAAATCGAACCTTGCGAGGGTCAAGATAACATTTAAAACCGTTAAAAGGGTGATGATAAACCATTTCATGGAGAACAGCGCCCTCTTTTGTGCATTAGTTGGAACTGCATGTGCAATAAACTACTCGTTTTTATCGTTAGGAAAATGTACCACAAGTCCAATTATATACATTTATATAAACACACACACACACACATATATATATATATATATATATATTAGAATGTGCTGACATATTTATATGACACTATTCCTGGCGTTTTATATTAAATAGCCTGTATTAGTATTCCATACATTTATATTGTATTAAATCTTAACAAAGACGTTTACTCAATTGCTAATACACTTTCCCTGAAACTTATAACACATTTATCAAAACTATAACCACAGAATAATAATTAGCTACTAAATCAACTGTACAAACCAGAAGTATGAATGAGTGCATGAGCACATGGTGTAAACCTACAGTGTTCATAGCCTAGTTTTGAAAAAGAAAGAAAATGTATTTTTGGTTATGATTCAGGATATTTGGCTTATAAAACGGATATTAATTGAGAGAAAAAAAACCTGTAACAGAAATAAAGCAAACATGCGCACGCGGCATCCGTTCCTGACGTGGCGGCGCGAGAGCGTACACACCTACTCTCGTGGGCCGCCGCTATTGGACGCGCACTGTCTAATGATGTTCAACTTGAAGGCGCAGGTGTCAAATCGAAACTACCCGCATGTAAATATCATATTCAGTTTTGGCAAGGCAATGCTTACAGAACGCGTAACAAACTGAGAGTTTCGGTGAGCTCTTCCTGTTATCAAGTTAAACATAGTCTCTGACGATAGTGAACTCTGTTTATTCATTCAACTTGTTCTATAAGGTAAGATACATTGAACTGCAATTTGTTCAAGAAATATTGAAGAATAAATTTAGTGTACCAATATTTTATATATTTAATTTCTTTCAACTTTTAAAAACACAACAGTAACAGTAACTACAGATGTGAAATCTGTCATGTTGAATGTACGTGCAGTGATGCCTCACATCACGTCAGGTGTGATCATGCAGCTGACGCTCCTGCTGTCAGCTCTACCTGCGCAGTATCTCATCTCCAAGTGGACAAGCGGCACCGAGACACAACGACACATCGCCACTCAGAGGTAAACACACGTGTGATACGAGACTAGGCCTATTTAATATGAAAAAAGGTGTTTAAAAAAAAACTGCATTCTATCCTCTCTTACACACTACAACTGAGAAGTTGGCAAGTTTAGCAAGGATGCAATAAGTTCATCAAAAGTAGCAGTTATTTAATTTATTTTTAGCTTTATGTTCATCAGAGAATCCTGTAAAAATGTATCAGTACACAAAATAATAATCAACATAACTGTTTTCGACTTTGATAGTAATAAAATGTATCTTGAGCAGCAAATCATCATATTAGAATGATTTCCGAAGGAGCATGTGACACTAAAAACTGGAGAAATTACTGCTGAAAATGTAGCTTTGGCATCACAGTAATTCATTACATTTTAAAATGTTTTAAAATAGGAACCAGTCATTTTAAATTATAATGATAGTCCACAGTATTACAGTATTTTAAATAAATGCAGCATTGCATAAAGAATTCTGTCAAAAACGTTTAAAAAATCTTCTGACCCCACACTTGTGAACGTTAGTGTACATTCATAAAATTTTAGCCTAAAATCTTAATTTTTATAAAAAATTATTTAATGGAGACTGCATTTCAGGTTTAGTGGTTGGGCGTTTTTAATCAGCTTCTTTAGCACTCCTGTGGAGTGCTAAATTTATTTCCCAACTACAAGTCACACTTTAGTTCTCACTATTTACTATAATTCTCACTATTTACTAACTATTAACTATGACTGCTACATAGCCATCATTTATATTTGTCTAGGAAACAAGTTTCTTGTATTATTATAATCTACCGTTTGTATGTTTTTTTTTTTTTTTGACTGGTACTGTGCTTCTCTAGTACGAAGTCGAAATATTTCCAATAGTTTAAAATGTATTTTAAAAAGTAAAAAATTATAACACATGACACTGTATGAGGCTGTTGTCACTGCTTGAAATATCCCATTACAACTTTCATATTCAGAATCCTTGACACATGGGACTCCATAAGAAAATCCTACTTCAACACAGCTGCTTGGGTTGACTGGCTAAATACCTGGATTCCCAAACTACCGTAAATCTATGCTAATCTCTTTTTAAAAGAATTCTGATTCACTCAGATGCTGAGGTGGGATGTCGTGTTACATGACAGGTCCTTCGGAGAGGAAGAGGAGCAGTACCAAACTCTGGAAGAAGCGCTCGCGATTGAGCTGATGATGCATGACAATGAGCACGGATACTTTGCAGGTAATGTCTCTGAATTATCTCACAGCAATCATTTAGATCTGCCATTAAAGGGGTCGTATGATGCGATTTCAAGTTTTCCTTTCTCTTTGGAGTGTGACAAGTGGTTCGTGAATAGATAAGATCCCTAAAGTTGCAAAGACTAAAGTCTCAAACCCAAAGAGATATTCTTTATAAAAGTTAAGACTGGTCCACGCCCTCCTAAAACGCCTCGTTTAAACACGCCCCCACATGTCTACATCACTGTGTGGGAAGATTTGCATAACGCCGCCCAAATGTTCACGCAAAGAAAGAAGGCGTAACTTTATTGTTGCTGCCACCGCCGCCGCCGCCGCCGCCGCCATGTTTTGAAAACAATGTGTTTCGTTGCGAAAGTGAAAATACTTTGTTTGGTCTTCCAAAAGAGGACACGACTAGAAATCAGTGGTTAAGTTGTATTTACAACACTGTTCCAGAACAGTTCAAACCAAATAATCAGATGTGTGCAGCGCATTTTACGGAGGACTGTTTCCTGA